AACACTGCAAAGCAGTGTCTGGTTGTGGGGAGAATTCCAGCTCAGTTCCTAGAGAGCTTCACTAGCATGCCAGGATGCCCTGACATACAGATATGGCAGCATACATCCGGAACAGAGCAGGTAGAGGCAGGAGGGACAGGGATTCACAGTCATCCTCAGCTACATAATGAGTTCAAAGCCACCCTGAGTTACAGGAGAATTTGTCTAAAGGAAAAGAATAAAATAAAAAGTGGTTTGTGACTCTTGAGCTGAGGGAACTACCTATCCTGCTCTGGTGTCAGGCTCCTCTACTGTAATTTATGTTAAAAAACTTCCTTACCAACAGAGTAATGTATTTATGTGTAAATTAACTTTAATCTACCCTCTAGGGGAGGTGAGTTAGAGTTCTATTAGGAATTCACACTCCAGGGGAGGTTAGCTACAGTCTGAAGTGCCCTAATCAGGAATCCGTACTCCCCAGGTGGCTACTTAAGCATTTCAAGAATTTTTATTGAAATTTATACCACAAGGTTCAATAATTAGCAGAAATGATGTCAGAAAAATATTTTCGTTGGTGAAGTGAATGGTGTCCCAGATCTGTGGTGCACTAGGGGCTTTACCACCACTTTCTCCTGAGTGTCATGTGTGAACACATGACCACAGTGGAAGGTTCATGAAAACAGGGATGTTTACTGGCTTTATTCTCAGCCGCCTTACCTGGAGCAGAGAAAGGAGTTTGTGGGGCAAGGTGGCACTTCAGCCATAGATGCTTACCTACCATGACTGAGTCCTGGGTTTAATACCCAGACTAGGAGAAAATAGGACCAGGGAGGTCTACATCTACATAGACCAGGGAGTAAAGGCACTAGCCTAGGAAGCTTGACAGACTTGGGTTCAATCCCTGAGGCCCACAAGGAAGAAGAGTCAACTCCTCCAATTGTCCTCTGCCTTCCACTCATACTCCATGACATGTGCATGAACTCTCTCTCTCTCTCTCTCTCTCTCTCTCTCACACACACACACACACATACACACACAAATAAATAAATACACATTTGAAAAAGAAATTATATCTGGCATATAACAGACACCAAATATATTCAATGTATATGGAAAATATGCTCCTTGGACCTTGTAGGTGAGACTCTGCCTGAGTCCTTGTTAATCATCCTCTGCTACTAGATAAGGACAGGCCTGCAAAGGAGGTTGGTTGGCTGCCACTATTGCTGCTTAGCTGACACTCCAGATTGCTCTTCCTCAGCAGATTCTTTGGAGACAAGCCTGGAGACAGTGAGGAATTTCTTAACCTTACACAAACAGTTGTGTGAATGCTTTAAAAAACAAAACATTTAATTTTCTAAGTATTGTAATCTACCACTGATAACAGTGTGGTGAGGAAAGCAGGAACCTGGGGGCATTGGGCTGTTTGTTATTTCACCTACTCTGGAGCAAAAGGCAGGAGGATTGCAAATTCACTGGATGTTGCAGGCCTGTCTAGGAGTGAGGAAGGCAATGGCTTGCTAATTTGAATAAAGGGTAAAATGTGATTTACAGAAAAGGGAGGAATGAGGAGGAAAGTGGAGTCACAGGATCAGAAGTTCAAGCCCATCCTCAGCTACATGTGGAGTTTGAGGCAAACTTTGGGTACAAGAGTTCTAAAACTAAAAAACAGAAACAACCAGGGCAAGCTAGGTGGCAGGGCACATGCCACTTTTAATCCTGGCATTCAGGAGGCAGAGGCAAACTCAACTCTTGAGTTCAAGGCCAACTTGGTCTACAAAAACAGTTCCAGGACAGTCAGGGCTACACAGAGAAACCCTGTCTCAAAAAATAAACAAGTAAAAAAAGAGGATGTTGTACTGCTTTTGCAGAAGACCTGAGTTGAGTTTGATTCCCAGCATCCATACTGGGTGGCTCACAAGTGCCTGTAACTCCAGCTCCTGGAAGAGCCAATGCCCTCTTCTGGTTGCCACAAGCACTTGTACTCACATCCACTTACCCCCAAACACATTCAAAATTAATTAAAGAAATAAATCCTTAAAAATAATAATTCTTAATAAAAAAAAATTAAAGAAAGTTAAAAGGACAATTTATAAAAGAGCACATAATAGAAGAGGCTATTTTCAAATTTTATACCTGATAAGGGTCAAATGTCCAGAATAAATAAAGAATTCTTATATGCAACAATAAAAAAAAAACTGATTTTAAAAATAAAAAAATAATAATTCAAGGTCATTCTTAGCTATATATCAAGTTCAAGGTCATTTAGGCCACATGAGACTCCCTCAAAAAAAAAACAAAAACAAAAACAAAAACAAAAAAAACCCCAAACATTAAACAGGGATGCAGAAACAGTTCCGAGTTAAAGAACCTTGACTGCTCTTTTAGAGTACCCAGATTTGACGCCCAGCATTCACACAGTGGGGTCATTATACCCTCTTTTGTCCTCTGTGGCTACCATACACAAACATGATGCATAGATATACGTGCAAGCAAAATACCAGGACACATAAATTAAGACAAACAACAACAAAGTGAAACAGCCTGGGCATGCAGCATACATACATCTTTAATTCCAGTACTTAGGTGGCAGAAGCATGTGGCTTTCTGTGAACTAGAGGCCAGCCTGGTCTACAGGGCAATTTTCCAGGCCAGTCTTGCAAGGCCACATAGTGAAACTCTGTTTTAAAAACAGAAAAAGAAAAACTAAAAGAGAGATAGAGATAGGCAGACAGTCAGAAAGACAGATAGATAGAGAAGAAATAGGGAGAAGTACAAGACTACCCTCAGCACAAAACTTCTAACAGACATATAATCTCTTTCTATTACCTCTTAATGGGGTCAGGCAGATGCAGTCTCAAGTACCCAGGTTTTACTGGGTTACTGGTTATACGATGGATTTCAACTCCAAAACTACAATCACATGAAGGATGGCATGGAGGTCTTGTCTTTCTTTCTAGCTTTAACATCTACAAGACTCTGTTTCTCTTCCTTCGTATTTCCTGTCAATGCCAAGGCACTCAGGGGATGAGGTCATCCTGGGACTATTGATCTTGCTCACTAGGGCAGTATCCACGCACAGAAACTAAGTAAAGGGACATAAAACTAGGGTGCGAAATTCAACTCCACTGTCAATTTTAAGAGACATTCTTAGGAGCATTAATTTGCAGTGTGGCAGGAATCCCAGCTTATAGCTGAAGTGGGTCAGTTGCTCTGTGGTCAAGCACGCCTGGACATGTCTGGTGACCTGTTGAGGCAAGACTGAGACAAACTGGCTGACTTCCTAGAACAGGACTCATTTCAGTGAGGAGAGAATGAGAGAAGCTGTGTGAGAAAGACTTAGTCACGCGATGGAGAGTCATAAAAGCAGCTCGGGGTAGCTGTGACTCAAATCCGTCACAAGTCTAGGCCCATGCAAACTTGTCTGCATCTCTCAAGGGAACAGAATTCAGAGCAAAAGCATAGGAGCTCTTTCACAGAAAGCCTGGAACCCTGGGCACAGCAGCTCGCACGCCAGGTTTCCGCTAACAACGCGGCTCGGGTCTCTCCAGAGTACGTGCTGGCTCTGCCTGTTGTGTTTGTCTTTCAGCGCCTGTCAGGCACAGTTGGTACCTGGAACAGCAGAGGCAAGGGTGGGGAAGTAATGAGATGGAAGTGTCAGGACACTTCCCAAGGGTCCTCAGTGTCCTAGCTTAGGTGTGAGGGATAGGATAATCAGTGAGATCCAAGTCAGGGTTTCCTTGTGTAGCCTTGTCTGTCCTGGACTCGCTTTGTAGACCAGGCTCGCTTCCAACTCCTAGCGATCACACCGTCTCCGCCTCCTGAGTGCTGGGATTAAAGGCGTGCACCGCCACCGCCGGGCTCCTGCTTCTGGAGCGCTTGCGATTACCTTGGTAGGCTACATGTTCCTTCTGCTATAATAAATTATTTTATTTTTAATTTTTTTTAAATTAGGGCAGTGAATTTTGGAAACGTGAAAGTGCTTTACCAGGGAGCTCTCGGGGTGAGTGGGGGGTGGGGTAGGGGTGGGCTAAGAATGTCTGACGGAACTCTCACTCTGAGAATGCCTCCTTACTCCAGAGAACCAGATGTGCCCTGGAGTCAGGGTGTGACAAGGGCTTCAGACCAGCGTTTCCTCATTATTTTACAAAACAAAGGCCCCACTTTTCCTTGGTGAAAAAGTTAGGAAGATGCTAACCTCCCTGTGGCACTTAGGAAAGGGACGCTTGCCCCAGAATAGGGAAGAGCTTTCACTAGTCTCAGTTGTTATCTTTCCATCCAGGCTTCAGACCTTCCGAAGTCAGACAGTTGTGAGCCGCTATGTGGGTGCTGGGAACCGAGTGCCGGGTCCCCTGAAGCGCAGCCAGAGGTGTTAACGGCCGAGCCACCACGACACCCCCAAGAAGTTACAGCCTGCTACAGTAGCTTCACCCAGATTTTATTAGCGGCCCAACTAAAATCGGAGGACTTTGAGCCAAAGCGCTGTCTGCTTCGTCTGAGCTGCCCTCCTTGGGAGGCTGGAACACTGGGATAGGTAAGCAGGCCCGGACGAGAGTGAGGCCTTGGCACCGTGCTGTGCTCTCAGCCTCGAAAAAGCCGTTTACTTTCTGCACGCTTTCTGTGGCCCGTCTTTGGGTACGGCAAGCGCTCAGAAGGCCAGACAGACACTTGCTCCGTCTACGGCCCCCTTCTGCAGAACACACTTCCCAGACTCTCCGAGCGGATGGTGTTCTCCAGAGAAGTACAGGGCTGTGAAAACCCCCGCCGACTTGGGGTTTCGGTGGCTTGTCCCGCCGCCAACGGGCGCGGGAAGGCGTGGGAAGGCAGCTAGAAACTCTGAGGGGCGGGGCCGGCGGGGGCGTGGCCGCCGGCCGCCGCGCAGGCGCGCTGCCGCCTCCGCGTGAGTGCGCGCGTTGCGGCGCGTGTCCCCGCGCGGGCCCCGTAGCGCGTGTGCCGCCTGACGCAGGCCCGCGGGCCCTCCTCCCGCTCTGCGGCGGCCGCGGCCGAGAGGAGTTCGGGGCGTGCGGGCGGGAGGGGGCGAGGCGGCGCGCCGCGAGAGGAGGCGGCGGCGAGAGGAGGCGGTGGAGCAGCAGGCGCCGCCATGGCCGCCGCGCTCGCCGACATGGCCGACCTGGAGGAGCTCTCCCGCCTCAGCCCGCTGCCGTCCGGCAGTCCCGGGCCCGCGGCGCGCGGCCGGGCCGAGCCGCCCGAGGAGGAGGAGGACGACGACGACGACGAGGCGGAGGCGGAGGCGGTGGCCGCGCTGCTGTTGAACGGCGGGGCGGGCGGCGGCGCGGGGGGCGGCGAGGCGGAGACCATGTCGGAGCCGAGCCCCGAGAGCGCCAGCCAGGCGGGCGGGGACGAGGACGACGACGAGGAGGACGACGAGGACGAGGGCAGCAGCAGCGGCGGCGCCGAGGAGGAGAGCAGCGCCGAGAGCCTGGTGGGCAGCAGCAGCGGCGGCTGCAGCGGCGACGAGACGCGCTCGCTGAGCCCGGGCGCGGCGAGCAGCAGCAGCGGCGATGGGGACGGGAAGGAGGGCCTGGAGGAGCCCAAGGGACCGCGGGGCGGCCCGGGCGGCCCGGGCAGTGGCGGCGGTAGTAGCAGCAGTAGCGTGGTGTCGAGCGGAGGCGACGAGGGCTACGGCACCGGGGGAGGCGGGAGCAGCGCGACCTCCGGGGGCCGGCGGGGCAGCCTGGAGATGTCGTCCGACGGGGAGCCGCTGAGCCGGATGGACTCGGAGGACAGGTCAGTGCGCCGCCACGGGGACTCCTCCGGGACCCGACCGAGGGCACTCTGCCCGGACCCCGTCCAGGGGACTCGGGGGACTCCTTCCTGACTCTCTGGAGGGCACTCTGCGTGGACCCCGTCCAGGGGACCCAGGGGACTCCCCTTGGACCCTATCTTGGGGACTCCCGAACCCCGTTGAGGCGGCTCCCTTGCCCGATCTCCCACCTCCTGGACCGGGGACCAGCCAGGGGGACCGCCCCGCAGCGAGCCCCTCGCTCTAAGTAGACTCCGGGGCTTCGCCGAGGGGACCAAGGGGACTTTCTGGCCGCAGTCCTTTTCGTGCCTTGCGCCTCCTTCCCGACCCCGCCCGCCCGCCCGCTTGCTTTGGGAACGTCTTCGCCGCGATCCCTTTCCCCCTGGCCCCCAACTCTGGGACCCCAGCTCCCGGGGACTTTCCGCGATCTCCCGCCCCCTGAGTTCTCGGCCCCTCCCCCAGATTTCAACTCGGAAATCCCTGGCGGCCGCCGCGCCCCTCTCTCGCCACTGAGCGGCTTCCAACTCCTCACCATCCCCCTCAACTCTCCTTTCCCCACCCTCCTTCCCTCGGCGCGGCACTCCCTTCGGACCGAAGGACGACTGTATCCCGGAGACAGCCCCCCAAAGCGGCCCGGACGCTCCAGCCGAGCTCCCGAGGCCCTTGATGTACACCTCGGTACACAAGGTTAGCTTCGTGCATCGGTGTTCGGGAACACTTGTCAGAACTGTAATTGACAAGTGTTTTCCAATATGGCTGGTCTCCTGGATCTCACAGAACTAACTTGTGCAGGGAGGCGACCCCAGCCCTGGCTTTGCTTTACTTTAAAAAACACGGTTGGTCCATTATATGTAATCACTGCTCCCCTATGTGTCAGTTATATCGTCTCTATGGGGATTTGAATCTTGGTCATCAAATCTGGGCGAAAGTTTAAAACAGAAAGACCATTGTGGAAAGGAACAGTGAATTGATGCCCTTTACAGTAACTTTGCCGAATCGGAAAGAATTGGAGTCACTAGATAAGGCCATGAAGGTTTTAAAAAATTAGGTTGTGGCTTTAAAAAACGGCACTATACTGTGATACTTAAATCCCGCTTGGTGGTTTTTTTTTTTTTTTTTTTTTTAAGTCACGAATGGGGGAGGTTTTTGGAGGAATTAGTGCTTTTCTAGAGCACGTTCTGGATAGAACATTTAAGAAATGTGGTATGTTTGGTTGCTCTAGTTTTTGATTGCTTTGTAAAATTTCATAATCGAACTGATCGATTTTTAATGTACTTTTAAAAGAATCTCACGCTTATTATGTTCCTAAAGTGTATTAGCAGTTACTTTTCACCCTCTGTTAGTGCTTTGATGATTGGAATTTATAAACCAATAGTGTTTTTTCTCCTTGGGTTGAATTTTGGTGGTTGGGGTGTCTGGCTAATATAACCCAGTTGAGAATCTAGCCTTTTTTACATACCTTAGCACCTGCATCCACCACCACACCTGAATTTTGGTTTGGTTTTTAAGTTACAGCATTTTGAAGTCTTTAGAATTCTGGTTGCTAACAAATAAAGATGAGCATGTTATATTTAGTGATAGGGAAATATTCCAGAAAAAAAATCTCAGGATTAAAAAATAAGACAAGTAAATACTTGTTCTTTCTCCTCCCTCTAACATTGTTATGACAGGGTTTCACTTTTTAGCCCAGAAGCCCTCAGCCTCCCAAATGTGGGAGCCACCGTATATCTAGTTTAAGAAAGGCTCCTGAGCCGAGTGTGGTGGCCTACATTGATAATCCCAGCACTTGGGAGGCAGAGGCAGTCAGACCTCCGTGAGTTCCAGGACAGCCAGGGCCATGCAGAAACCTTGTCTCGAAAAACAAACAAAAAACTCTCGAGTGGATGTAAAACAGATTGCTCTTTAGAGAATTTACTCACTGCTCCTTTAGAAGACTTGTGCTGAACGGTGTAGGTGCAGTTGGGGAAGACAGTATCTTTTAACAGAAATGAAAAGTTCACGTGGGGCAACCTGTTTTGGGGGCTGCTCTGTGCTGCAGGAAGCTGTCACTCAGTAGAACCTTGTCTGTAGAACCTTGTCTGTCTGTCCTTGAGAAGCACCCAGTTGATTGAAGCTGCACAGTGAAGCATGCGCTGTCACGCTCTGCCGTGCCCGTGCCTGTGGATGACGCCGGCCTGCTCTTCTGCCTAGTGCCCACATGCATGTTTGCCATGTCTTCATGTCGTCCTCACGGTTAGGGCGTGTGAGAAGGGTTATTTTATTTTAGCTTCCGGTTAGCAGACGGAGCAGCATTCGCTAAGATGCAGTTGGGTGTAAAACAAGGTCTGCAACTCATTTCTTCCTCACAAGAGTTCACTTTGTTTAAATCAAGTAGTTCGTAGTTAATTAAATAGTTCACCTTAATATTGAAGAAAGAAAGTGTTTTTGGCTTATAGTTCTTGGGCAGGGGTGGGTTGGGGTCTGGGGAATACAGGCCATAGGGACAGGAAAGGCACTGTGGCAGGAGCAGGAAGCTGGCTGCTCACAGTATGTCCACACTGTAAGACTGGGCATGGGAGGAGCCTGTGGATCCCCACCCCCCCCTTTAGTTTTTAGAGTCTATACAGCCCTGTCTATCTTGGAACTACATGTGTAGAACATGTAGACCAGCTGGCCTCAAACCCAGATCCTTGTGTTTCTTTATGCTGGACTATACCTGCTTTATAGAAAGCTTGGATTTGGTCATGCCTATGTTAGACCTTTGAGATATTCCTTGGGAGCTGTCCACAACATGGTTTGGGGGAGGGGCAATAAAGTCCCCCATGCAGGGGGAGGTATGGCTGGAGAGGTTTACAGCTCTGGCCAACAATAGTTCACATGAACTAACAAGTGACAAGTGTCCTAGAGCCATGTCCTCTATGTTGCGCTCCCCCACCTTCATCACTTCCTTTCAGAAGACAGTGAATTTTGGATTAACAATAGTTAAATTGGTGAATTGTTTTCATTTGGTATTGAATATCAATGAAGAGTAACTTTGGTGCCAAAAGGCTAAATAAGGTTAAAACAAAAAAAAAATAATCAGATACGCTTTCTTTCTTTTTTCTTTAATCTTTTAAACATTTATTTATTGGTGTGTGTGTGTGTGTGTGTGTGCGCGCGCGCGCGCGCATGTTGCACACTTGTGGAATTCAAGAAGGACTTGCTGATTCTCTCCTAACATCTTGTATAAATTGGGGGAATCCAACCCAGGTCAGCTGGCTTTGCAGCAGATGCATTTCCCTGCTGAGTGAGCTAACTCACTGGCCCATTCTTGCTTCCTTGATGCTGTTAAACATTGGCAAATGAAAAAATGCTATAGTGATGGTTTCAGGGTAGTAGCTTTTTCACCTGTGTGGGGAATCGGTACTAGTGAAATTGGATTGTAGCCTTGATGGTTTTGAAATACCTCCTGTTGGCTTTGAGTTTTGTGTTTCAGAGTTAAAGTTTGGAAAGGATCTATAATTTTTTTTTTTTTTTTTTTTTTTTGGCAGAGTCTGATTCTGGTTTAGACTGGCCTGGTGTAACCTAGGCTAGCCTCAGACTTGTGGTAGGCAGCCTTAATCTCCTGAATGTTGGGATTACAGGTGTGAGCTATCATGCTGCCTAGGAGGCATAATTAAACTTTGAGCTTGCCTTTATTTAGATTGCACCAATCTGTGGACTCATTCTATATTTCACGGAAGTGAGTTGTAAGTTTTGTAATTAGAAAGATACAGTAATTTAAAAGTTCTTTTTAAAAGAGGCATTCCTGTGACAGCAATACCTTTATCATTTGAACTTTTTGTACTAGAATCTTTATTTTTTCTGACAGAAAAGCCCAGGTGTGGTGGTGTAAGCCTTTAATCTTAGTACTGTGGATGCAGAGGCAGAGAGAGGATGGTTATACAGAGAAACCTTGTCTCGAAAAGAAAAAAGAGGGAAAAAATGTTGAACGTTTGAGTTAATCTGCCATGCCTTAGCATTTATGGAAATTTCTTAAGTATCTGTTCTGCTTATCGAAAAATAGAAGTGCTTAGGTATTAGAATATTTAATTTAATGGTGTCATTTACAAACATGAGTTAGGCATTTTTGTTTTTAAAAGATTTTTAAAAATTAGATTTAGTTATGTGTGTGCATTTGTACTTGGAGGGTGCAAGCGCTTTCAGAGGCCTGAGGCATCTCCATCCCTGGAGATGGAGATCCAGGCAGTTGTGAACCTTCTGTTGTAGGACCAGAACAGTGTTTGCCCTTAAACCATGACTTATCTCTCCAGCCCTGTGTTAGAAGTATTGTAGTGATAAGTGACCAATTTCTGAAGTGATTAAGTGACATGTTTCATCATAACAAGAAATAGGTTAAAGCATATTAGATATTATTTTAAAATATTTTATTTTTGTGTGTCTGTGTTGTGTTTATGAGAATGTGATGTAAGATTTTTTTGGTCTGGAAGATAGGGTGACAACTTCCGGCTTGATCTATCTTGTATGTTGACATTTAGACTTTTAATTCCAAGGTAGATTTTCCAAAGTAGATTTGGCCGTAGCTCCTAGCAGATAATTTTATTTATTTTTGAGACAAGGTCTCAATGTTGTCTATGCTAGTTGTAGTCTGACTAGCTTAGAGCTCCTGATCCTTCTACCACAACACATTCTCCCAATGTTAGGATTAACAGAAGAGACCTATCATACCTAACACCTAGCTCAGCAGATTTAATTAATCAAAGTTGAAAATGTTAGGTTTTAAGCTTTACCTCCTGTCGTCTGTTATGGTGGGAGTTGCAGTGGAGAATTGGTAGTGGTGCATGGACCGTATGCCAGTTCAGCTTGGACTAGCGATGCAGTCAGCAGGGACTTCAGATAGCCCAGTGCCTCAACCCTTCCACAGGGCACTTTGCATGGCATCAATATCGACTGGCTGGTTTCACCCAGAGTTGATCTGAGAAGGAGCCAAGGGAAAGCCCCAGGGCTCTCTGAGCCAGATATACCT